GGTTTAAGGTTCGTGCTTTAGGGTTGTATTTAGGGTTTAGGGTTTAAGGTTCGTGCTTTAGGGTTGGATTTAGGGTTTAGGGTTTAAGGTTCATGCTTTAGGGTTGGATTTAGGGTTTAGGGTTTAAGGTTCATGGTTTAGGGTTTAGGATCTAGAGTACTTAACAGGTCTACCTTCACCTACGACAACCGAGTGTTTGGTAGTATAGAATCAGAAATTTGGCGGTGACCCTATCAAACAGTAGGCGCTAGCTGGTTAACGCACTCCTCAGTTTCCATACAGTAGGTGTTGTGGGCACCGAATTGCTAAACCCTACACCCTCCATCCAAACTCTGCAGACGAGGGTTGGCGCTGTTGGGGGAAGAACGACGCAGGGTTCCCAGATTTATGGATTTAGGATTTAGGGTTTAGGGTAGTTCTCTGAATTGATGCGCTCGTAAGGTCCTCCCTAAAGCCTAACGCCTAATTACAAGTTGATGCCTTCCTTTTGAGATCCAAACTTACAAAGCCTCCCTCAAATCGCTCCCGAACCCCCTCCTAAACGAGCCTAGGGTTTATTTAGGGTTTAGGGGTTTAGGGTTCAGGGGTTTAGGGGTTTAGGGGTTTTGGGGGTTTAGGGGTTAGGGTTTAGGGTTAACTGGGGGCCGGCGCTTCGACACACGAGCCAGGAAACCGTTGACTGAGGAATGCCTGAAGCCTGCAGAACGGCCTTTGATTGAGACCAGACTATGGAAGCCTGATTAATTAGCAATACTATTTTGAGGGCTCCTCATCGAAATCAAGAGTATCAGTACAAGATACGCACAAACCCTTTCCTAAGCACTAAGGCGCTTATACCCCCCGAATCGAGAAAGAGGGGGACATCGAAGCTCAAAGTCTCGCGGCGGGTGGGGAGGGGCTGGGGCCGAGGGCTTAAATTTTCGTGGGGAGGACACAAACATCAGCAGTTTTGTCAAGGATATCCCCACCTTCTTGGGCTTCATGATGACGTGATTTATGTGGGATCCCTGGCCTAGCTTTTGCTTATGTGCTTTCGTGGGATTAAAAAGGGACGCTAATTTAGAGAACTACCCAGGTAGAAGCCCACAAGCCCGAGCAACCGCATTTACAGCCCGCAGCTAGGCCCCCATAGCTGCGACGCTATCACCCTAAACCCTAGTTGCTTAAAGCTCCGAGTTCTTCTTGCACCGAAGGACGAAGACCCTATCACCTGAAGCCTCAAACCTTTCAAAAAACTCCTTGTATAGGGGCCTTAACAATTAGAATATGGTTTCGGCTCCGTTATAATATATTTATACGGAACCCCTCCAAAACAAAAAATTGTAATTAATCAGGTTCTATGTAACTAAACCCTAAACCCTAAACCCTAAACCCTAAACCCTAAACACTCATCCTAATCCTCGCCGGAGGCGCCAGGCATCGCGATGATGAGTCTCCTCAGGGCTCTGAAGCCACTGCTTCAAGAGGTACTCCTGGGCTGGCAGCTCAGGCTTAGGGGGGTTTAGGGTTTAGGGGTCAACCAGGGGGCAGGGTCCCGGATCTAAGGTTAGAAGTATGGGGCCCCTAATGTGGACCCTTAGGCCTTTCTAGGGACCCTTAAGGGTACATACAGGGGTACATAGTAGGTGTATCAGGATCCCAGGCTTAAGGGCCCATACTAGGGGGCCCATGGTTTCAACCTTGGACCGGAGTCCGACACGAGGCGGGGGGAAAGGGGGGGGGGGAGCTTGCTGGTTTAGGGTTTGGGGTTTGGGGGTTAGGGTTCAGCGTTGAGGGTTTAGGGTTTAGGGGTTTAGGGTTTAGGGTTTGGGGTTTAGGGTTTAGGTTACAATGTCTCAGACGCTGAGCAAAATCTCGGGCCATGGCATAGTAAGAGTCTGCCAGGGCGCCCATGGCAAGCCTAACGAAACGGCCGAAATTCTTGGGGTGTGGGGGCTGTTGCTTCTTACGACATAAGATGTCCACGATCCTCTACAGTTCAGCAGCGGCGTCTGCTTCTGCTGCTACCGAGTTGAGTCTGTGCAGTGCCCCTTCAAGCCCTGAAGTAACAAGCCTGCCACGAACTTAATGCAGGGGCCTAAACAATTACCAATACTATTTCTTTTGGAGGGGGTCCTTTATTCTGGTTACAGTATAATGTACCCCGAACCCCTATTCTAATTATCAGGGGCCCTTTCTTATAAATGTTTGGGAGTTTTGGGCTCAGCGTGCAGAGCTTGGTGCGTTAAGGCTATGGGCTTTCGCACAAGTCACCAGGCCATGGCCCGGAGGCGACAGCAAGTGGGACATCAAGGCTCAAACTTTGTCGCACTAGCACGCAAAACTGGGAATGCCACAAGCGTCATGGCCGGTAGCAGTATCACCATCAACAACAACGACATCATCATCATCATCATCATCATCATCGTCATCATCATCATCATCATCGTCATCATCATCATCATCATCATCGTCATCATCATCATCACCACATCCGCTTGCTGCTGTAGTGTGGCCCTGCACCCAAAACATCCGCCAATGTAGTGTCGAATCCTGCCTGTCGGGCATGAGTTGAGGCTTCCCAGCTTCGGCTGGCGTGAGGTGAACTGGGACCAGCCCGTCTGCACCTGTGGCACGGAATGAGGGATTCGAGCTTCAGGTCAGGAGTCTTGGGTCTTCGGTTTAGAGTTTTAGGTTTTTAGGGTTTAGGGTTCTAGGATTTAGGGTTTAGCTTCCTTGTGCCCGAGACCCTAAACCCCAAACCTTGGGGTTGATGATTAGGGTGGGTGAAGGCCTTACCAAGCCTAGACGGCCCTAAACCTGAAGCAGGTATTCCCAAATCCCGTACCTTTGAACCCTCAAATCCAAGATCAAGGCCACTGTAGTGCACTCACTACAAACACCAAACCCTAAACCCAAGCCCTCACGACTGAGCACGCTCACGGAGGGCGGTGCGGAACACTTCTACCCCAGTCCCTTGAATGGCTTAGAGTGGAAGGCGTAAAATGCCCGCTCTCCCGTAAAGGTACCCTCCACTACATGGGTCATGCGAACCTGCTTTCCACGGATGGCACGGCAAAGCTAGACCCCTGCGTGGCAACACCCACTCCTTCAACAGAGCTATGCAGGGGATCCCAACCCCATGACGCTTTAACTAAAAGGAAAGGGATTTATCAATCAGGGTTTCGTTAGGCCCTGAAACGGTTGGATTCCAAGTAGTCCGCTATCTTGTGCAACATGGAGGTGAATGGGTACGTACCATGCCAGGTCTGGTTTCAACATGCGCAGGACGTATACAGCGGCCTTACTAATTTAGAACACAGTATTTGGGAACGTAATTCTGTAAAGGGAAATTAGGGATGAAAGTACTCACTGTTCAGGCCCCTATATTAGCAACTACCTTGTGCGGAAGTCCAATTCAGGATCTGCGGTCCTAGCTTTCAGGGTCTAGGGATCAGGGCGTTTAGGCATTGGGGTTTTCGGCCACGGGGTCACAAAGCACGTGCTCTTCACACGATCTTCGTTGTCGCTTTCACCATGGGTTTCTGAATCTTGAAGGTTCCTTATTATGATTATAGTATAATATACCCCCAAACCCTATTTTAATAAGGCCGGTAAGGCCCCCTATACTAGGGTTTGTCGAGGGTTTCAGAGTTTAAGGTTTGTCAGGATTCTTCGAGGATCCAGTGTGTTTAGCTGCGCCGTCCCTCCCGTGTCATCTTCGCGAGTCTTGCTTCACAATCTACGGCAAGGCAGGATTTCTCTTTGAGGGATAAAGTGGTGAACATAGGGCTAGCCTCTAGGCAAGTTTCCTTGGTGAGCCTGAATTGAAGCGGGCTTGGGAGAAAAACTGAGCTTGCCACTACAGTGCTTCCTAGGGTTTAGGGGTGCTTTTGGGAGAGAGGACGCCTGCATCGCGGATGGCTTGTGAAGCCACTTCTGCTGCCTGCCATGGATCTCCGCTCCACTCTCTCGTCAACTTGTCACTTATTCTATGCTTGGTTGCATTGTCATCTTGCCTTTTTTAATGCTTTTGTAGGCTAAACCCTACACCACCCTAAACCCCTAAACCCTAAGCCCTAAAACCCTACTGCTCATACTGATGGTTTGGTCTATGACACGGCTAAGAACTCACCGACCTCCTTCTGCACCAATTACTGCCGCAACGGCGACATCGCGCGCTGAACTTCTATCCTTCCACCTCTATCGGTCTAGGGTTGAGGGTTGAGGGTTTTGGGGCCTGCTGGCATGCAGGTAGCTTTTCTTGAAAATGCGCCTGAACAAGGAGTCATACCACAAGTCCCCACAGAAAAAAAGCATGCCCACCTGTGGTAGTTAACGGACCGATATCACCAGTGACGAATCTTCAAACCCCAAACCCTCAACCCTACTGTGCAGACCTAAATAATTACCAATGCTATGTGTTTTTTGGGGAGTCCTTGCTATAATTATAGTATAATATACCCAAAACGCTATTGTAACTATTAAGGGCGGCCCTAGATTCGATTCAAACATCTGCAGCTACACAGCTCGACGACAGGCCTATGAGTTTCGATTGGGGTTTAGGGTTTAGCGTATCAAATCAAAGGTGCCCCTGTAAACTATATGAAGCTCTTATTTCGGGCCTTATAGACTTCTTTGGACATGTATCAAAGGTAGGGGGCACTATTTGGCCTTGTAGTCCTCTTTGCGGGCTACTGAAACACAAAAAACCCTAAACCCTAATTTCCTACAAACCCCGTTCGTCCTACAAACTACTGAAACCCATTTGCCCTATGAACCCACACCCTCCTGGAAAGAGTGGAAAGCAGCACCTCCCATCTAAGGTTGAGGGGTTAGGGCCGGTTAAGGTTTAGGGCTTAGGGTCTGAGGTTTGGGGTCTAGGGATTGGGGGTTGGGCATGGTTTAGGGTTCAGGGTTTGCGGCTGGGAGATTCGATGCCGGCCTTGCTGTAGCGCAGGTCTCCTGTCACTGCAGATAGGTAGCCTGGATCAGGTCTTGATAGTGATAGGATAGACTTGATGATGTAATATTCCAAGCATAAGGCTTGTTTTGAAAACATCCCTGCACATGCCGATGCTTCTCCGGAGCCCTGTATACACTCACCAGAACACTAACATAACATAACCCCTTCTCCACTAGTCTACGTCGCCTGGGGTTGTGCAGAATGCTGTCCCGGATACGGGACATGAGGTTCCAGAAAAGAGGATGCGACGCGAAATCACAGTCCTAGGACCCGTACTCCAACCGAACAAAGGAAGACCGCCCAGACTGCGAGGCTTGAAATCCTTCATAGAGCGTTTGTGCAAAAAAAACCAAGCCCCAAAAATTCTACATTCCAACACCAAACCCTAAGCCCCAACCCCAAGCCCCAAAGCCTAAGCCCAAAGCCCTAAACCCTAAACCCTCAGCCACAAACCCCAAGCCCTAAGCCCTAAAATAGGGGCTTCAATCATCAGAATAGGGTTTTGGGGCCCATTGTACCTTTTATATAATAAGGAACCCCCAAAATAAAAAAGGTAATTTTTAAGGCCCTAAACCCTAAACCCTAACCCCTAAGCCCCATACCCTAAACCCTCAGCCCCAAGCCCGAAGCCCTACGCTTCAAGAAACCCCCTCGGAATTGGCTCTGCCGAGCTGCGGAACTCGAGCTGGAAGCTCCCGGCCTGGCTAGTGCATCGGTCTTCCATTGGGGTTTGGGGTTTAGGGTTTAGGGTTTAGGGTTGCATCCATTGCGGACCGTCCCAGCCAGAATTGGGGCTTTGAGTTTAGGGTTTAGGATTCAGGTTCAAGAGGGTGTAGGGCTGATGATATAAAGCCTACATTACCCATGATAAGGAATATACCACAATTCCATAGTTTAGGATCCTCCAGGTAATGCAGGATTCATATCATCAACAGCAGCGCAACGGCACAGCGGTATGTCCTTACTTACTGAGGCACCTGTATCCCTCGCGCATAGGATTGACTCCCAATTGCTCAAGTGCAGGAGTAGAGGGCTTGTTTCTGTCGGAACTGGAGGCGTTCGCAGATACGTGCCAAACCAGGTTACACGGCTTGGTATCAGGTTGTCAAAGGCTTTACGAAGAGTTTTGCGGTTCCTCTTCGAAACTCCAATACAGAGACCTGAATAAGTGGGCTACGGTTTCGGGAACATTATACTCGATTGATGTCAGGGAATCCGCAGGAATGATCTTCTCATTCATGATCTTCTTAATCCTTCAGGACCTTGCATTATACACGTTGGTGTGTAGTCTAGTCTAGTAGTCATGCTTTATCTTGAAGTCGTGGTTTCACCCCAGGCAATGCAACTGAAACCCGTAAAAATGAAAACCCCAGACCTTCAAACCCTTGAGCTCTCAAAGCCCAAATGCCTTAAGCCTGGACAAGGGTCCAGGGTTTCGGGGACCCCCGTCCCTAGAGAGCCCCCCCAAACTTCTCACACTGCACGAAAGGTTGAGAAGATATGGAAACCTGAGGATTTGAAGAAGCACCCACCGAAATTGGCTTTGTGTCTAGAGCTTCGTTTGTATTGGGTCTTCGAGGGCTTCTATAAGGGTCTTATTTGCAACTTTGGGCTTCGGATGTCATGTTTGCGCTCAATAAGCTTTTGGGTTTTGAATTGTCGAGTCTTCGAGAGGGGCTGTGAGTTTCTAGGGTTTCCGTTTTAGAGTTTACTGTTCAGGGTTTAGAGTTTGGGGTTTCGACGGTTGCTCGAATGGCAATCTGTGCAAATGTTCAGCAGGAAGATGAAATTCGAAACCGGGTCTCCAAATAAGGGGACCCTTTTCCGGAGGTCCCGCTGAGGAGGCCGCATCGCCACCGAAAGCGCGTTTAGGGTTTGGGGTTTGGGATTTAGGGTTTAGGGGAAAACGGCACAACGTAGAATCGGCCGGTTTGGAGCTTGCAAGGTTTCTAGCTCATAGGATTGGAGGCACTCAGGAGAGCCCTAAACCCTCAACCCCACCTCTCCCCCAACCCCTAAAACCTGTGACTTAGGGTTTGAGGTTTAGGGTTTAGGGTTCATGCGTTTCGGGTTGAGGGTTTAGGGTTGAAGCGTTTAGGGTTTTGGGCTTTCGGGGTTCAATTTAGGACTTACAGCTCTTAAAAATGACCTCACGCAGAGAGTGCAAATCTAAGGACTTTAGGAGGGACCCCTAATAGGGATCCTGAATCCCAGTACCTTAAATAACCATTGTCTAGTCCTTATATACCTCTTATATAGCCAGGTAGTCTCCATATTACCCCCAATAACCTACAAGGGTCCCCATTAAGGGTCCCTCCTAAAGCCCTTAGAGACCCTAAACCCTAAACCCTAAACCCTAAACCCTAAACCCTAAACCCTAAAAACTGCCGGAGCCGAGCCTCTGCTAAGATCGTGGGCTCCTTCCGCGGGTCGTAGGTGCTCTTGCCCAGCCCACGGGCGAGGTTCCACCTTGCATCTAGGGTTTAGGGTTTAGGGTTTAGGGTTTAGGGTTTAGGGTTTAGGGGTTCCACTTTGCATCTTCTGGACTCTTCCTAAGGGATTTAACTGAAGTTGCCATAATGAAGAAACCCGATGATTTACTAGAGGTCCCTAAGCCCTAAACCCCTAAACCCGCAAAAGGTCCCTATTATGGTAACTTAAAATAAATTTCTTAAGAAGAGTCCAGTCTTAGTTCCTCAGGCCTCGTGGAGTTCTATGAGGGTTCTACGGTTCAGGGTCTGGCGTTTGGAGTTTAGGGTTTAGGGTTTAGGGCTTAAGGGTTCTAGGGTTTCAGGTCTGACGTTTGGAGTTTCGGATTGGGTTTAGGATTTAGGGTTTAGGGTTTAGGGTTTAGCGATGGAGAATAAGAGTTTGACAACCAGCTACGGCATCAACAGATATTAACCAGCACTTCGAAAGCCCTTTACAGACTCGCCTAGCATAAACCCCTCTGCACAAATCCCTCAACCCTAAACCCTAAACCCTAAACCCTAAACCCTAAACCCTAAACCCTAAACCCTAAACCCTAAAACCCCTTAAAGCCGAAGCTCTGAAGAACCCAGACCCTTCAACATACATCGTAACTCGTGTACGAAATGTCAGGGACAATAGGGGGGACCCCTAGAAGGAACCCCTTATCCTAATACTCTATAGAACCCCTATATACCCCCCGAATAGTCTCATAGAGCCCCTATATAACCCCAAGGGTCCCGTTAAGGGTCCCACCTTTAGTCCCTTGAGAAATGTCGAAACCAGTCCAAATAAAATCCTAAACCCTTCCTCCAATCGGAACCCCTAAAGCCACATCTTGCAAGCCTGGGCAAAGGGAGCCCGGATGAAGTGTTCATGGCTGGAAGAATCCTGAGCATTCGGGTTATGGAACAAAGGCGTCGTAGAGGATGCTGACAGGGTTTAGGGTTTAGGGTTTAGGGTTTAGGGTGTTTGCAATTCTTCAAAGAGGTCTTACTTGGCTACTCTAAGCCCTCAACCCTAAACCCTACGGCCCTAGTGGCTCTTTTCGCAGTATGTATAGAGCTGCATGGGTCCTATAACCTTTGCTTCGTAGAGTGCGCTTCTACTTTTTCTGGCTGTTCGTGAGGCGCCGTATGAGAATGCAAGATGTCCTGGTGGCCTTCAGGCTTAATAGGGTCTAGTTGAGGATCCCCACCTCTCTAAACTATCAGCTGCACGGCCCAACAATGAAACTCTACTTCCAAGTAGAGGTTGTGCATCAAGTCCATGCTGCAGGAGAGCCCGCTGAGGCAAGGCTGGAAAGAGGGGCTTGTTCGGCGACCAGTAGCCTTAGACATGTTTGTCATGGTCCCCCACCTCTATTTCGGCGGATGCTCCGCTCGGTGAGCCTCCTCCAACCGCCGGATCTCCTCCTCCTGCGCCTTCAGTTTAGGGTTTAGGGTTTAGGGTTTAGGGTTTCTGCGAGAGCCTCTTGTTCTCGCTCTTCAACCTTAGATGAGATGCAAACGCCAGTTCGCCGTCGTTAGGGCAGACCCCTGCCAGGCCGACCCAAGCCCATTGTCAAGCCAGGACAAGCTGCCACGAAAGGTAGCTTTGCACAAGGAGCATCCAGAAACCCCAAGCCGACAAGGATGAACTGTGAATCTACACTCTGCACGTCATCACCCTCCCGCTAGGTTACTTCTCATGAGCAAGGCCTTCTAAACCCTAAATCCCTAAACCCTAAACCCTAAACCCTAAAATCCTAAACCCTAAACCCTAAAACCATAAAACCCTAAACCCTAAAACCCTAAACCACCTTCATACTTAGTGGTCTCACCCCTTAGGCTCCGAAGCGGCCAATTTACCCGTTAACCCCCCTTAGGGGCTGAGTACCCTGGGCCAAAAAAAAGTTAACCTTTAGGGCTTAGGGTTGAGGGCTTAGGGCTTAGGGTTTAGGGTTTAGGGTTCGTGAGTTATAGAAGGATTATAGAAGGCCGAGAAGGGTTAAAGTTTACCTACTCAGCTCCTAAGTTCCTTAACCCTAGACCTTAAAACCCTGAAGCCCTAAACCCTAAAAACCTAAACCCTAAACCTAAACCCTAAGATCCCTAAAACCCTAAAACCCTAAACCCTCAACCTAAACCCCAAAAATCCCTAAAACCCTAAAACCTTAAAACCCTAAACCCTAAACCTAAACCCTAAAATCCCTGAAACCCTAAAACCCTATACCCTCTAACTTGAAGGTTTTAGGGGTTTAGGGCCTAGGGTTTGGG